GGGCCGCCTGAGGCGGGCGGGTCGCGTGTCCCGCCCCACCGGCCCGGCCGGCCTGTGAGAACTGAGGGGTTTCTACGTGGTCGGGCACGGAGCGGACAGCCACGGCCCTGTACTAGTCTCGGAAGCCTTAAGTTATTAAAACCACGAAGTACAGGAGCATAGACTGTAACTATTGGGGGAGGGGGCGAGGAACTCCTTTCTTGCCTCGGAGTTACAGAAAGACTCCACAGGAAAAACATTTGGCGCTGGTCACTGGTTTTGTGCTGTTCAACACTGTTCTGAACGTGGGAGGGGAACGTGTAGCTCCCAGTCTTAAGCTGTCCTTGCAAGGGATAATAAAGTGTTCCTCAGAAATTGTGCAGTTCGGTCTTTTCCATAATCTTCTCGTTTTAAACCAGTTCTACTCATTCCGTCGTAGTCTTTCCTAATATATTCCTCCAGATTCTTTAGAGGTGGTTCCACTGGGGACTATACTTTTATTTCATAACGTATCAGAAATTAAAGTGTTTTAGTAAATTCTGTTAAAGAGGCTACATTTCTGCTTCACATCTTATTGTAGGCTTTACAGGGTAACAAAAAGGATGTTAGTATGTGGTCATTTTGTTGTACAATAGCTGAAGAGGTTCTGCTCACCTATTAAGTGAAATTTGGATGAAGTGTTTCTTCAGTCAGTTACAGGTGCTAAGCTTACATAAGCGTTATTATACCTAAGGGCTATGCTGTTCTATTGGTAAAATTATTTTGTTAATTCATATCCATGCTTATTAGATTTATTCAGTTGATAAAGATGAGAAATCTCTGTCCAGCCTGGAGATTATCGTGCCACGTGATTTAGCAGATGGGTTCGTCAATAATAAACGAGAGAGCTACAAGTTCAAGTAAGTAAAATCTTTATATCTTCTGCCTTTAGTGATTGATATCACTATGTATAGTGATACAGATCTACAGAAGCAGGAAAAGTCTATTCAGAAATTATTTTGGTGTAAATAAGTTTACTTTTATAGAACAATATATTTTTATGGGTTTTCTCTATCCATTGCAAGTCAGTATAAATTTCTAAGTTTCATCACAAAGATTGCATTTTCATTTATCAGTTCTTTTACAGCTTGTTTTGAATTTACATATGAAAATTGAATGCAGGGCTGTGTACTCTCTTGTGATTTAGTAATTTGGCATAGGCTGGCTAAAGATGTCTTGATGTAAAACACTTTGTTTTGAAACTGTTTCAGACATAACCAAAACATGGTAAAGAAAACCAGAGATAGTTGAAAGAACAAAACCATGGTTGTAGAATGTAAATACTTTATAGAAACTGAAAATAAGTACCAGCAATATCAATCAAATATTATCTTTTCAACAGAAAACTTGGAGGGGACACTTCAAAACTTTGATGATGAAGGGAACTAGATATATAACCACCCCTAATGACAAGGCTGAGGTTGTCTTTTTCTGAGTTGAATATTCTTTATTTTTTCTGATACCAAATCAAGTAAATTTGTTGCTCTATGCTGTTAAACAAGAGCACCCCAGATAAACATCTGCATCTCAGGCTGATGTCATTTTACGTCAGCTAAGGAAATCTGTTCTGCTTGGGAAGAGAGGAACTGCCCTCTCCAACTGGATTAATATGCAAAACTAGCTTAGGTTGCAGATGCGCAAACCAGCTATAATGAATGTTGATCTTTTTTTTTCTGACTTTATAATTTATTAAAAAGCCTGTAGAGATGGATTTTGAGAAACACTATGCCTTATTATCCTTAAAACAATGTAAAAATAATCCTATGGAGTAAGCATTTCTTTTTCCTCTATAAAACTAATGCTTTCATGCAGTCTGTCTATCCTGGTCACCTCAGATGTTATTCTCCTTTGTTCTTACTCTCTTGTATGGGAAAACACTATATTTCAATATAAAACACAATATATGAAACACAATTGTTTGTATTACTTGACTGATTAAGCATTAGCAGGATAGAATACATGCATCTATATATTGTATATTGCATTTGTCTGTGATATTGTACACACTGTGTAATCCCTTGCAGTCCATGGTGGCTTTCTGTATAACCAGTGTCTGTCATGAAGTTCTATGTGAGTATGACAAGTTCCCTGTCAAGTTCTCTGTAAGCATACAGTTCCAGGTAGGAGGGACAACACAGCAGGGCACAAGCAGTCCAGGAGGCTTTTGGAGTGTATGGGTGACAACTTCTTAACATATGATTAAAAAGCCAATAAGAGGAGAAGCTCTGCTGCATCTCATATTTGCAAACATGGAAGAACTGATCATGGTTACTAAACCTGGGGGTGGCCTTGGCTGCAGTGGCCATGAGATAGCAAAATTCAGTATGCTGGGATAAGGGAGAAAGGCAAAAAGTAGGATCGCAACCCCAGACTTCAGGAGAGGAGACTTTGGCCTGTTCAGGGACCAGCTTGAAAGAATTCTATGAGACACAGCTCTGGAGAGAAGTCCAGGAGAACTATCTGATTTTCAAGGATCACCTCCTCCAAGCAAGAACGGTCCATCCAGATGAACAGAAAATAATGCAAAGGCAGCAGGAAGCCTGCATGGATGAGAAAACAGCTCCTGACTAAATACAAAAATAAAAAGGAAGTATACAAGAGGTGGGAGCAGTGTCAGGTGACCCAGGAAGGCTGTCTGAGGAATGGGATCGGGAAAGCCTAGAGAAGTGCACACTTGGGGTGTTGAAAATGAACTGAGCTGCTGGGCTCAGAGGGTTGCAAGTCAAGCTGGAGGCCAGTCACTGGTATAGTCAATACTGGGATCCAGTACTGTTTAGAATTAATGACCTGGGAGATGGGACCGAGTGAAACTTCAGCAAACTCACAGACAATATGAAACGGAGAGATGGTTGCCACACCAGATAGTTGTGCTGTTGTTCAGAGGGACCTCAAGAGGCTGAAGAAATGGGCCAATAGAAGTCTTAATGAAGCTCAACAAAGTGAAATGCCAAGGCCTGCTCCTGGTGAGGAATAATCAGGACAGGCTCAGGGCTGACTGAAAGCAGGTTTGCAGAGAAGGACCTGGAGTCCTGGTAGACAAAAAGTTGAACGCGAGTCAGCAATACACCATTTGCAGCAAAGGCAGCCAAAATCCTCTGGCCTGCCTTAGGAAGAGCATTGCCAGCATGTCAAGGGAATTAATCCTTCCCCAGTGAGATCACATCTGGAGTTCTGTGTCCAGTTCTGGGCTCCAGCAAAGGGACACAAAGATGAATAAGGGACTGAAGCATCTGACATGTAAGGAGAGCTTGAGAGACCTGGGACTGTTTATCCTGGAGAAGAGAAGGCTTAAGGAGATCTTACCAATATGCATAAACACCTGATGGGAAGTCGGGGGAGGGGGTGGGGGTGGTATATAAAGAAGATGGATCCAAATGCTTCTCCGTAGTGCCTAGTGACAGAACAAGAGTTAATGGGCACAAATTAAAATACAGGAAATATCAAAAAAACTTTTTTTCCTGTGGGGGGATCAAATACTGGAACAGGTTGCCCAGAGAGGTTGTGGAGCCTCCTTGCGTGGAGATACTCAAAACCTGACTGGGCAGACCCCTGCTCTAGCTGACTCTCCTTTGAGCAGGGGAATTGGAGCAGATGGGCCCTTCCAAACTCAAGTATTCTATGATTCTGTAAGACAACTGCAGATATTTAATATAGGAAGGGACAAAACTTAAATTGAATTAAATATCTTCTTGTGATTTACAGTAACTGTGAAGCAGAATGAAGGAAGTAGTCATGAAAAAGCATGAGCCTGGCTGTACTGGTGGGGTGCTGTATTCAGTTGTAGTGTAATCTATTTATCCAGGTTTCAGTGTGGTGCCAGTTACAAACACTGATTCTCTTGATAGATTTAAAGTACGGTTTATTTTTTTCTAAGCCACATCATTTTATCAGAGGATTTTATTGTACAGATCTTGTCAAAGCAGCACTGTGTACAGCCTATTTATGTACAATAGCACAACAACACGCTGTGGTTAAGACTACAGGGAAAACATTGTATTAAGTTATGTAAGCCTAATGATGTAAACATTGACTATTACAAACACAAACAAAAATGTATGAATCAAGTAGTGTTTTAAGATTCTATGCAATTATTATTTGCTTAATATTTTCAGATTTCAGAAAATTTTTGATCAAGAGGCAAAACAAGATGTGGTTTTTGACAGCGTTGCCAAACCAGTAGCAGAATGGTACGTTGTTGATCTTGTAAGTAATTGGAGTAACACAGGGTCAAAATAGCTTTCATTGTATTACTTGGAGGAGAGCTGGAAAGTGTCTGTCTTGCTGCTGAAGTGGATTGATGGTTTAGTTTTCTAAATAATGCTATGTCTGAATCTAGGAGATACAACGATCTGCTGAGAATTTTGTGTATGGTAAGGTTCTATTTCTAACTCCTAAACCAGCACTACTGCTGTTGCCTCTTTTGTTGCATAGGTATAGAAATCCATGTCCAATTAGTTTTTTGTCTATAAGGTCACTTCATTGTCTTAGAAAAGTATTCCCTATATAGTTCCATGAAGGGGTAAACTTAATGAAAATCTTATCCCCCTGTTTATTTTTCATTAAGGTAAAGACACTCATGAACCAATACCTGTAGAAGTATTCTCAAATTTTGTCCTTGTTATTTTTGTCTTAATGTGTAAGACAGTGATGTTGGCACTGTTCTTGTTTTTCTCCACATAATTATGAAATAATGCTTATATTTTAGAGTTTGTAAAGGCAACCATTTAAGACTGATGTAGACACCCTCTTCATCCATTGAATGCACTCTGAACTGGGTGGATTTTCCAAAATGCCATTCTCTTTGCTCATCTTGCACTCACATTTCTGAAGTTAGTACTGGTTTTGGGGGGGAAATCACACACTGAAGGAAGAATATTTTTTGCATAATGTTTCTTTCTTTACCAAACTTACTGCTCAGAATCCAAACTTGTAGGGAGTTGGAAAGTATTAATTTAAGTACCAAGTTATTTCCTCATTCATTTTCTGATCCATTGTTTTGCCAGTTATCAGGCCTAGCATAAAGATGAACCAATAACCAAATTGTATTTGATACAAAAGGTTCAGTACATGGGTGAGTGCTGGGGGCACAAACAAGTCAATCAGATTATACATAATCAACATCAATCCCACTGACCCCAACAGTGACACCACATAACCAACAGTGGGTGGAATAAAGAGTGAAATGCAGTCTCCCATAGAAGGGACAGGAGACAACCAACTCAACAAGCCAAATACATAAGACCAAGGAAGCCACATACTGAATGAGTCTCTACACAGCCCACACTTACAAAAGCCAGACCTGACTGGAGCCTAGTTCCAGGGAGGCAGGAGGTCCTTCCCCAACAGAGAACTCTGCACAGTGCATCCACCTCACAGACAGACACTGCCCCTGCCTGCAAGGGGTCCCAGCTTTTATCCCTAAGTGGGACACCTGACCTTTGTTTACTTCATGTGGGACACCTGGGGCTCATTTACCTAATGGCTCTCCTGGCAAGGCTGGCCGCACTCTGGAGGCAAGCCTAAAGGCAAACTCACCCCTCTTTGGGAAGGGCTGTGGGTATCACCCATATGTCAACCTTAATTTGGGGCTTGGGCTTGAAACTCTGGCATTTCACCCATCCATTGATTTAAGATATGATTCTGCAAGTTATTCTTCAGCCTATTGCAATGTCACATGTTTTGCACTGTAGGAAAACAGACATCCTCAGCTGGACACTTAATATTTCTCAAACTGATATTTGGAAGCAAAATTATGCATTGCTCTATATAATTTTATTTTCTTGATTTTTTCCCCTCTATTTTCTTCTTAAAAGTCCCACAAAAAGCAGGAGGGTAATTGACAGTGTGAACAAAGAGCTAG